AATATGTTTTTAGTGTTGACATTGTTTGCAAATTACTTTGTGGGAGAGACACAAAACAAAGAAAAATACTAATTTTCATGCTCAACTTGTTGACTCTGTTTATTATATCTTAAGGACTGCTGAGCATGCCTGTGCAAATGATGGTTGAAAGGCAGCCCTCACCAGAGCAGGAACATACTTTCAAGTTTGTTCTCATGAAAATTCTTTTCCTTGATCCCAAACATCACCTAAGACAAGTTTTCTACAGTAAAGGAAGCTGTTCAGTAAAGAAAACTGCCATTCCTGGCAGCTATTCAGATAACCTAAGAAGTAACCTGGGCCTAATTTTAGTATAACGTCTCAATGCTAATTCCAATTATTGTTTTTTGCATGACAAATGCAATATTCAACTTTTTTGCTCTTTATTTTGCTCTTGAAGGCATTTTTGGAAACCTAAAGACATTTATGTATTTGGGCTTTGATTGAGTAAATTTTCTTCGTAGTAGCTTGTGTTGTGGTGCTGTGTTTCATATCTGTGATCAAAATGACATGGATACCATAGGATATGCTGGATAGTGTAGAATGTCCAGGCCTTTTCTGCTTCTCAGCAAGCAGCTGGGGATGCACAAGGAGTTATGAGGAGACACAGTTGGGATAGCTGACCCCAGCTGACCAAAGGGACATTCCATGCTAAATAGCTTCATACTCAGCAAAAAAAGCTCTGGGGAGAAACTGTTGAACATTTGAGTGATGGCATTTGTCTAACCATTACATGTGATGGTTAAAAATCTGGGAAGCTGCGAATTAATTTTTTATTTTGCTTTGCCTACATGTGCAGCTATTGCTTTATCTATTAAACTACAGTGTTTTGAGTTCTATTTCTATTTTGCCCTTCTGATTCTGTCCCCCATCCCATGGAGGGCAGTGGAAGAGTGGCTGGATGAGGCTGAGCCACGCACCAGAGTGAAACCTCAACACAACACTACACTGGTCAGGTACTGTGCTCTGGCTCCTTACTCCAATGGCAGATGCTGTGACATGATTCCATGGCAACTGACTTGTGAGTTAGTTACTTACTCTGTATGAGGACATTACTGGAACCAAGCTTACTAAATTTCTGTGGAGACCATACTAGAAGGTAAAGATATACAGCTCTTTCCGAGGAACACAATACATTGAAAGAAAAAACTTTAGCAAAACAAGGTCATGATGCACCCTCCCAAAGCCATAAGTATGTTCATACAAACCAAAATACACAATCCAACTTCCCAAGCACATTTAATTTTCATGAGTAAAGTGATTTCTCTATAGACAAATTTCAAAGAAGAAATCCCAAACCTCCAGAAGGTTGCAAGCTGTAGTTCCGGCATATACTAGCATTCCTTGCCAATAGTGATTTGGAAGCAGCATGTGGCTACTTCTAATTGAGGACCAAATATTTTTCAAAAAGCATTCATAAAAAATGAATGGTTGATATATCTGAAGCAGCAGACTACCTCCTGCTCTCTTCCCTCCTACCCCGTACCCCCACATTATGCTAGCACTTCATAAAACAGCAACGTAACAAGTCCTTTTTGACAACGAAACTGCTTTTGTGAAGAAACACATTCATTTGCAATCATAATGAACTGAAAATGCTGATTCCACAAATATGGGAAGTGCTGTGTATTCCTCGCAAGAATTTAAAATAGTAAGAAATGACCCTTACTATGGCAACAACTAATTGGTTTATTGCCCTGATGGGCTAGTGACAAGAAAAGCAGTTGGTAGCAGTGCTTTCATCACAGGGTATTCTAAGAAATAACTAATTTAAACCTTCTCAAGCGCAGGCATAACCTGCTCCACATGGGAGCATATCTCCAGAGGGTTCATTAAGTTACTGGCAGTCTAGGTTTTGGAAGCAACAACTAAACACTACATCTCTGTTCTAGTCTTTGCTGATTGCCTGAAGACCTATAGGCTCAATGAAATGGGGTGGGGTAGTGGAAAGAATTGCCAACTGTTCCTGAATATAAACAAATAAAGAAAGTACAAAACTATATTCAGCAGAGCTTTTCTGCTTAAATGCAGTAGCTGAGAAAATATGTTTCCTATAATAATTTTAGAACAGTTCCATATTAAGTTTTGGAAAAGTGTTGCTTTTCTACACAGGAATAAATGATCAGTTATTGAGAAGTAAGTGAAGTCAGCACTGGTATATTATATCAGGAAATAATAGGGCCTTTTCAAATTTCTGTCATACTCCTTTATGTTTCTGAGTCCTGTGAAAAATTCTCAGTCCTCAAAAATTCCTTTTGATCCTTGTGTCCTTCTTAAACAAAGAGGAGAATTAGTAACCAACTTGCCTTTTACTGGAAAGAGGTATATACCTGCTGGGCTTTGTGACTATCCTCTCTATTGGGCCGGCAGAGGAAGGGCACGAGGTATCTATGCTGTGTTTTGATTCCATGTTGGGACATGCCTTGCTGACTTGTTTCACATGACTTCATTTTCTCCCTGGTATTGCTTTGTGATTTTTCAGTTCAAACTAACTCCCTCAAAAAGCAAATCTTAGCCAGAATTGCAATTTTGGGTCTTTTAAAATAAAAACTCCAAAGCATTTGCAGCTTTTAGGTGGTTTCCACCCAAACCCATAAATTAAATGTTATATTCAATCCAGAGTCATGAATCTGTGGTTTGCAGTGACACTTGAAACCAGGAAAATGTATCTGTTTCTGGGCTTTTAAGTTTTGTACAGCTCTCTATAATACCGTTGACAGCTATTTAGGTATCACTGGATTTAAATGTTTGCTTTAGAAAATCACATTGGGAGAATTTTGGTTGGTAAATGAAAGCTAGTTTAGAGCTCTGTCCTATTTTGCTAAAGTTCAAAAGGGGAAGGATAAATTGTTCTAGTTTTAAGCCATTTCAACAGCTAATGGAACAGTACAAATGGAAAAGGCCCGTGTTGTTGGAGCAGAAGGGTCTGAGTTACATTCCCAGTATAGCCTGTGTGCAGATTACATGACAGCTGTGGCATCTGCATTTACACAGTCACAAATCATTTATGAGACTGACAGTTGTGCCACAGTTTGTGGTTTTCTCTGCCACCAATTGAACTAAAATATCTCAAAGGGAAAGGTTAATGCACTATACTACTGTGCTTGGCATCCATTTGAATATTGAAAAGTCTCTTCTATACTAATGCATAAAAATCAGCCAAAGTGAAGTACAGTAAAGAGCAGAAAACTGTTCTTGAGGCTGAATCATGTAAAAGTACTGGTCTGTATTACTTGCTGTTGATCTATACTGTCTAGGAATGAGGGGGAAAATGATGTCTTCTAAGTATTTATTTCCGTATTTTACTGCAAATGAAGGAGAAAGAGGTCCTGAAGGGTATACATAGCTGCCCTTTATTCCAATCCAGCTGGCCAAAACATCCCACATTTATAATAATTAGTGGGTGCAACAAGTGTACAGAGAATACTGGATCTTTGAAACTTCGGGAAAGGAGGTGGCTCTCCATCCCAGGGGCAGGAAATTGCCTTCAGTGAAGCAGGGAGAGAGTGTTGCTTTGGAGGGACACTATGTCAGTAATGATTTTTTCACCTCTCCCTTCTTCCTCTTATGTTCGTGAAGTCCCTAGGAAGTACAAGTTTTTTTCCTAGTGGTGTTGCTTCTGTTATGTTGGTATTTTCACCAAGGTCAGGAAAGGTAACAATGAGAGCTCCAATTGAATGATGAAGTGGCAGTGGCTTCAAGCAACTTACTGAGGCCTTTGTTTCTTTGGGAAATTTCCTTTTGTGCCTCAAGAGGTACAATGGCATCACTCTACAGGGGCTTCCGTGAAGAAAACTCCGTGTTATTTGAAGTGTTGAGTGATGGATACAGATATATGTTTAAATGAAAATTTAATTTTTTAGTTTCTAATTGTGTGTTCAATTCAAAATGATGCCTTTTGCTATGGACAATGGACATGCCTAGCCATGTCTTTTTTTTCATATTACAAGGTATTTAGACGCTGATGGCATGGTATTGGTAGCTATTTTAGAAATACTTGTTTCTTGGGTATGCAACTTGGATTTTCAAAAGCATTCAAATTACTTTCAGAGTTAATGAGACTTAGGCTTATTGGGAATTATAAAGGTTTAGAAAAAGGTATTTTATAATTGTAAGAATATGTTTAATACTTCAAATGGAAATATTTTTTTTTCTTCATTTAACCACCATAAAAATTCTTGACCAACATTCCCTTCTTCTGACCCCCTCTCAGCTAAATGGATTGATAAGTTTTCACTCAATTGCATGGGACCCTTCTGATCCAGATCCTGATTCAGTGATGTTATCTGCCCTAACCCAAATCCTGAGTAGATGGTCTTAGGGGAACTTGGCCCCTTTTTCTTCTAACAAAGTGAGGTGCCTCCCATTCCCTTCTATCCTGGACACATTTTTAATTCCTTAGAAACATGTTTCTTAAATTAGATATAAACACAATATTGTTCATTCATATGTAGCATAAATGCATAAATGTTAAGAAAATGCCTTCTATGATAATTGGTTTAGCAAAAAATGTTGTTTTTCTTATGCAGCTATTCTAATGTAAGTAACCGAATTAACAATCCAAGAGGAGAATATGCATTAAAATATTTACTGTCTACAATTACCTAATTCTTTCTGACTTAACAATGCAATCTATTATTAAAACTGCATGTTTGATATGCTTTCTTATTCCACTTCTATTATTTTGAATGTTTTAATGATTGTTTTACAAGGAATAAAAATATACTCAATGAGGAAAATGAAATTAGTTTGATTCCTAAATGAATTAAAAGCAAAAAATTTATAGACTTTTCACCTAATGCATTATGCATGAGCTATCTTTTCCAACATTTCAAGAGTTAGAGGATGGCAGAGAACCAGAAATGTTGAAAAGGACTTCTTATAACAAAGTTTACATTTGAAGTTCAAGAAGAGAGATCAGACATGAAATTCAGACTGTGTTTTTTTTTTTTTTATTTTCTTCTAAAATTTGAGATGGCATTTTTTGTGCATCAGAATATGATGATAACTCTTTGGACAGACAGGAAAAAGCTTTGATTTCCAAACAAAATATATTAAATTTTCCAATCTTCATCACAACACATTCTCTAATCCTCATAAAGAGACTCTGAGGACAAACTGTTGAGAACACACCCTTCACATTTCCTCAGATGGCCAACTGAGTGCTGCTTCTTTCCTTTATTTGTGTTTGAAAAGTGAGGTTCAAGCAGTGACTTTCCAGGTTCCAGAATCTCAGGTGAATGCCACAATCTTTGTGTTTGACTGCATCTACCCTGAGTCTTTCTTTTGGGAGTGTTCTGTTCTTCACAAAAATTTATTACAGCAGAATTCAAAGTTGGAATTCCTAAGTGAAAATAACATACAATCACCTTAATCCTATGGTTGTGGAGTTAATCATTCATTTTCTGGCACAATGCCTGCTTTGTCAAATGGAACATTTTCTCATAAAAGCATATATGAGAACTGAGGACATAAAGGGACTGTATATCTGTTCAGGTTCAAGTCACTGGATCCAACAAAAAAACAGATTGCAATCAGTTTTTCTATGCTTGTGATGAACAACATATTATTGGCTAAATTAGGATATACATTCTGTCTCTTATGTATTGACCAAAACCCAACATTATACATAGGAAAATCTTTCCAGATACAAGTTCATCAAAGCAGTCACCAAGAGTGAAAGGAAACAAAGAAATTCTTGAACAGTTGGAGCACTGCTTTCTGATCTCAGGTTGGCTGGCACTTGGGAGTTGTACTACCAGGGAGCAGGAGGAGAAGGGTGCTTTGCAAATGGCCTGGAGTCAGGGCCCATGGGTGATGGTTGGGCTGATCAGTCAGTGCCATGCTCATGGGGTGCCATCCTGTTGTGCCCAGTGAGATGTATGTGGCAGGATCAGTGACAGGGACCAGAGCCAGCATATGTCCAAGCATCACAGATTAGTCCCCATTGATGGGCCTGGTTCAGTCAAGGCAGAATATCAGGTCACTGGGTCAGGGTCAGGATCAGAACAGCGAGAATACTGGCTGCAGCAAAGATCCAGGGGGAGCATCTCAGGTGGAGGAAGGTGGGAGATCCCATCCAGGCTCTTCCTTCTGCAGCTCTGACCAAGGTCCCACAAGAAGAGGCAGTCAAAGCCCGAGGGGAAGGGGAAGAAGTGGCTGAGCCTGTGGAGGCACTTTTGGCCAGCAGGTACCTGGCTTTCTGTGGGTAGCAGAAATGCTAACACTTCAAGTGTGTACATGCTAGCAGAACAGTGAATCAATGTAGGGTGAGGCTGGTTCTGATGGGACTTCGGTGAGATACTACAGTTGGCCCAAATACGTTAATGTATAGATCTTTTGCCTTAATAAATTGAGATCTCTATTCCAAAAATATTTTAAGCTGTCATAGAGATGAACAACATTTTACAATGGCTGTTTCAATGCCTAGAGATAGATTTTCAAAGCACTAGCGCTTTCTCCTACAAAGTAATCACTTGTGTTTATGGATTATAATACCTAATGATGGATGTTCTTTTGATAACTATTAAGCTGCCCTGAAAACTAATTTAATCTCTGGTCATTCACATAGTTACCCTGACTTGTTCCAGTCACATTTCCAAGGACATTTCTTTATTGAGTCTTAATTTGTGTAAAAATGTGAAATAGTGATCCTGGGAGAGTCACTGGCGAAACTCCCATTGGCAGCAATGATTTCAAGGTCTGGCCTCCTGGGATTTTAATATTCTTCAAGGGCTTGTAGATTCAAAAAAGTGTCAAAGAATACAACCAAAAACAACCAGCCAAACAACTAAACAAACAAATAAACAAACCCTACCACAAAAAAATGCCTCCTGATAAACAAAACCACAAATGACCAACCAGCCAAAGTATATTGAACAAAATATCTCCAACCAAACATATTGCAATTGAAAATTCTGTCTTTCCACAGATGTGAGATGTTTGTGAGTGAAAATATTTTGACCTGATGAATTTTTTAGAGAATTAAGGGTGGTAAAAGAAGAGTACAATAGACTCCTAGTCAGTCATCAGAAGAAAAAAAATGTACTTTCAGAGAGCAATTCTGATTCTGTTCTGGAGGGGCAAATCTTTCCCAATGAATTATTTAAGGACCTAAGGACAACTTGACTGTTTAGGTAGGTGTCCTGGTGAGATTCCTAAAACTATCAAGTGAAAATGAGCCTCATGCGAAGTACCTGAAATATTCAACTGTATTGACTGTTTTACATTCAATCTCGCATTCTCATCTTCAGCAATTCTTTAAGTGCCTTCCTGTCTGTGAAAGAAAATTAACATATTTCCATTTCATAGTAGAAGGAAGAACCCACAGAAATCTAAACCATGAAATATTCTTCTTTGTTAGGAGGAGTTGAGAGAAATTTGGCTACAAGTAAGATGTAAAAGTAAAAGAGAGCTAAAGAAGTCCCCATCACGTGATCTATTTGTTAATGCAGATTGCAGTAAATTTTATACTGTCTTTTTCAATAAAAAATGGGCATTGGTTAAAGCAGTGACTGAAGTGTGTTATATGGGGTACCTTTGAGATACACTGCACTTTCATAATGGAACACCAGACACAATGCATAAATAATAAGAATTTTTACACTTTTTATATTTTGTGGAGAAAAAGGTTTTCAAGACAGCTGAGATATTTCTCCATTTCTCTGTGCTTATTTAATGAAACCCATGTTTCAAAACACTGCCTTTCTCTTTCTTCATTTTAAAGAAAATAAAACTATCATGGAGCAGAAAGAATTTTAAAAAATTCTTTGTACATTTTCAATAAAAGATTGATGCCAGTTTCCGAAGCATTACCATTGTTTTCAGCATTATACTAGCTCTGTAATTACAGAAATGCAACAAAATGGGGGCTGTGCATGAAAAATTGCAAGTGTGAACATGGGATCTATCCTGCCATGGACAAAAAACAGACACTTCCTTGTAATTGCATTCAATTTCTATGTGCATCTACAGTTTCCTCACATCCCCTAAAAATACATCTGTGCAGTTATCCCTTTTCTTTAGGCACAGAAGATAATAACACCATGGGAAAATAATAAAGAAAAGCATGCTTCACCATTCTTGCTGAGCGGTTATATGATTTAAGATCAAAGTCAAAAGAAAAGCCAGGTAACAGCTAAGCTCAAAAATTAAATAATGAAGAGAATTGTGCATTAAATGACCAATTTGAAATATTCCATATCTTAGCATAATTAAAGTTTTACATATAATGATAGAACCAAAATCCTTCAGCACTCTTTTTTGCTCCTAGTGAAAAAAAGATGGATTAGGAAAAAAAAATAAGATGGAACTGGCTATCTTGTCTTTAAAACAACAACAAGAAAAAATCCTTTTACTCATTTATGGAACACTTCAAAACAGGAATAAATGAAAATGAATTAAAATGTATATATCATCTGCTGTTCTTTCCATCACGAGAAAATTTTCAGGTAGCCAACTGTTTTGAAATAAATTTCCCTGCAGTTGCTATAGTGATGATAATAAAGTTCCTGCCTCAATTTACGTGATAGAGGTTCCTAGCAGAACACTTGAAAAGGTAAGCTAATCATAATGAAGACACTGTTAGTTCTTATGCTCAGAGCAGCCTCCTTGAATTTAGTTCAAAATTACAGGACTCCTCCGTTGTTGTCAATTTTGTTATATGTACATTATCATAATCTTTCTCAAAGTGGCAGTAACAAATTATGCAGCAGAGACAGTACTACTCTTTTTCTAGGTTAAGTCAGTGGACAACGAATATGCAGGTTTGCTACAATAGGCAATGACTGAATCAAAGATATTTCCCTATTAGCTGTTTTTTCCCATTACAAATCTTTGTTTTTTCTAACCATGTAATGACAGTATATTTTTTTCTTCTTTGGTACATATTGTTCAAGTCTCGTTTTATCTCAGTGTTGATGCAAACTAAATAGCTTTAAAGCAGTTACCTGTCAAAATGGATGAGTCATCAAAGCAATGTCAAAGATAAAACATTATTGCTCAGATGTATGTTCTACTGCAATAATTTTGCAAAATAACATAATTTACTTTAAAACATTTGTGAAGCTAAAATAGCTCCCATAATACCTGGTTTAGAAGTAAAATATGCAAAATAGCTGACAAAAAATACAATGTCATTAAATATTATTTAGATAAATAAGATAAAACAGAAATATTAAATCTGCCAAAAACTAGGACTAATCATCATGAAAACAATGATTTAGCAAGGCACTTCTAAAAATACCATTATTTGTAACTGTGATGTAACTATATATACAAGAATGTTTCTGTTGAGAATCTGTATGTGTTTTGATGTCTATGTGTCACTGTCATTAAAGGTCTATGAGCTCCCCTCCTTCTGCTACTTTATTGCTTGCATATGTATCATGCCCACCAATAAGGAAAATATTTTATTTCTTTAAAAAAATAAGGCATTTGAGATAAAAATAGAAAAGGCTAAGCTCAAATTAAAAGCCAATAAGATCTCAAGCTTGATGTACAAAGGCACAAACGCTATGATGAGGATATGTCATGTAATAAGAGACCTCAAATAAATTAATGAAAGAGCCTGCCAAAGTTAATGGCCATGATGTCAGTAAGCTTTTAATTAATAACTTTCATTATTTTTAAAGTCCTTTACAGCTGGACTCCTGAGGAGCCAGGGCTCCAACAACCAAAGAGCAAAGCCAGTTATGATGATTTTTTTTCCATGTACTAAAATCCCCATTCTATCTAGAGCCACATTCTCAGTAACAGCATATGTTCTTTGGTCAAATGTGTGAAGCCTTAATCTGACCAGTGACATTCAGGTCAGGAGTACACATATGGTGTGCCATACTGACTCAATTAACCATCCATCAATTTAATTGCATAATATATCAGAAGATGTATTCCACTACTACTTACAGTTAGGTGCCAACATGGAAATAAATAAGACAAAGCAACAATTTTCTGTTGTTTGTTTATCTTAACAGGAATACTAAGTAGAAACAATAATATATTTTATAAGGTAATTTTGTTCTTGGAAAAAAATAATTTTTGACAGCTAAACTGATCAGAGGCTGCTAGTTTTAGAAACGATACTTCTTGTAATAAGCAAGCGTAGGTGGAAAGCACACGTTACAAGAAAATTATAGCGCTTCCACTGATTCTAATCACATTAATGTAGGGGTAAGGGAAAAAGAAGGTATATTATTTAAACATTATGTAAATTATGAAGAGAGTTAACATATTGCAAACTTATAAGTAGTGACATAGTTGAGTTGATTTATGCAATCACTCCAGACATCAAATCCTTCTGGAATAATATACATGACAAAAAATGACAACATGGTGACAAGATTTAAAAAAAAAAAAGAAAAAAAAATAAGAAGAAGAGGAGGAAGAAGAAGGAAAAGAAAAGAAGAAAATTAAGCTTATATTTTAAGTATTCTAGGGGAAAAACTTGAAAAAACACAAGTCAAACAGAAATTCTTTCAAGCTGGAATTCACTGAGAGACAGAGACCTCAAGCTCTGGTTGCTAATGGTATTAGCTAACATGATGTCTTCAGAAATTGTATTACTTTTAGTGTGTTCATTTCAAAACTAGGCCTTAAAATGCATTCCAAAACATGTATAACATTTAGAATTTCATAAACAGATGCTAATTTTTTTTCAACTTGGTCTGCATACCTGATTTGTAGCCATGGTAAACCCTGATTCTCATTTGCAAAGGTTGTGGATATCACAACTGGTGTATGGACCAGTTGTCAGCCACAGGATATAATACTGGTCTGAGCTTCTTTCTGATGCCCAAATCAGGGGCACACTGATGAAATCCCTTCTTTTCTGTTTCTTCTTTGGGGTTAGAAAACATTCTAGTGTGATGTGTCTTTGCAGACCAGCAGTTGCCTAGAACTGGATCTCGCTTTTCCTGTTATTTCCTCCTATGGAAGAGTGCAGTTTGGAATATTTTGCTTCTTATTCCTCAGAACATTTAGAGATCTTTCCATAGTCACTTCTTTCTATAAAGAAACAGAAATATAGTGTAGTTAGACGCTCCTAAAGTCCAGAATAATGTGATATTGTCGCACCTAAAAGTTCAGCAGCAGCAATATTAAATCACTTTTTAATATAGCACTTTGCAAAGAGACAAGGAAAAGTGCTTCTAAAGCCTGGTGGGTTTTTTTTTAGCAAGAACAAAGTTTTCCAACATAGTAATTTTAGATTCTGAGAGTCTTAACAAGCATAGGGTAAATAATGTAGCTCTCGCAGAATGAAAAAAAATCAGAGTAAACAAAAACTGCCACTTTTAATTCAGCATTTCAGATACTTAGTGACTTGGTTTTATGTTCACTTTTCATGTGATTTGCATAGCGATTTTGCATAGATTTTTTGCATGTGATTTTGCAGTTTTCCTATAGCTGTTCTCCATAACAAGTTCTGTGAATTTTCCATTTTCACCCCCTTGGTTCTTGAAATTATGGAAATCTTTTATTGATCCTGTTTTTAAGCTCTCTAAAGAGTGAAATTGATTGAAAAGTTTCTTTCAAGGATCTGGCCCCTAAGAGCAAAATGATAACTACTGCCTCTGAGGATCCAAGCAGCGATACACTCATTAAAAATAAATCCTAAAAATTTCATATTGTCAATCACTGGGCATTCCTGCACGTGGTGGGTGTGTCTATGTCACACAGATGTTTCCATCCTCTAAGCCTGACATATGTCTCTGCTCCTTTTTTCTTTTCTCACACATCCAGGCCATTTAAGAGGTTTCCTTTCTCTGATCCCATGTCTTGGTTAGGAAAATCCAGGCTCTGTCTGTCCTGGGCCACAGAGACAGAGAGGTGGTGCCAGACAATACTGCAGTATGCTGGGGCTCAGGGCTTCCCAGGATTGGAAGTCCCAATAAAAGGCAGAGCCCCCAGCTACAGCCAGGTAACAGGAATCCACCCCCATTTCATGAGTCACTCATTTTTCCCCTCAAGGTCTTACATATTGCAGAAAGATTACAGTTGGTTATCATGCATGCATATATCTGAAAACAAGAAATTGATTTGAAATGAAAAAATACCTGGCCTTTTTCTCAAGGATTTGGGGCAGTATTCTTCTTTGAAGATGTTTTCAGTCCGCATTGCTGGCCCAGCATTCAGGGATGAAGGTTTGCTCCTGAAAAAGCTTAATCAAGGAGAAGCAAAACCTGGCTTGATACTGAAGGTGCTAGCTCACATCTGTCAGTAAATGGGAAAGATACTCCAGACATTTCTGTTGCCTTTTTCTGAGGATAGAGTCTTCGTTGTGGCACATTTTAGCTCTTGCTGGACTCTGCAGCCTAGACTTTAACTGAATGGGGAAATCAGCCTGGGCTTAAATTTAGTTGATGACTCTGATGGTTTAGGTGTTACAGGTTATCTGTGACTCAGGGACGACTTACAGGGCAGGCTGAAGGAGCAGCTGACAAGGAGACTATTTTGTCAAACCTACTCAGAGAAATGAATAGCATAGCTTTAAATCACACACATCTAACAGCCACATTAATATTTTTGTCCAAGAATATCTAGCAAACTCAGAGGCTATAGTATTTCTTCATTAAAGAGCCCTTTGATGAAGCAAACATACTTATTAAAAGCCACAAATTATTCACGGTCAGCTCAGAATCAGAAAAAGAATATCCTTTTCTCAAGACTTACTGTAGCAAATAATTCCCTTTCTTTTATTGCTACTCCGATTTTAATACAGCTCATGGATTTAATTATCCAGCTCAGGATATATTTGTAAAGTTATAAAAAATTTGAAAGTACTATAAAATTAATAGTTATTACAACTAATCCATGATTAATACAGTAGCTGATAGTTTTTACATGTCCCAGAATAGTAGTTTAGAGAATATAATTTCTGAAATCTCATTACAGATTGAGCCAATTTTCTGACAAAGCCACCAACCTGCCAATTCTTTCTCCATGGAACACATACCACTGGGGTGGTCATGGTGCAACCTTAAAATCACAGCATCAGTCAGCCTGTAAATTCAGTCATCCTTTTACCTCAAAAATCACAGTGTCACCTAACCTGGGAAGGGGGTCCATTACAGTTGCCAAGGCCAAAGGGCCTGATGTAGCATGGAAAACCCAAATTAAATTTTTTCCATATCATACAGCTGTGTGACAATCTCCATTTTAAACCATGTCTTAAGGAAGCCCAGACTTTGTACTGGTATTAGATGCTATCATAGTATAAGATGATGTGACAGGAGCACATATTGATTAAGAATTTTCTACTCTCCTTTTAAAATGTAGAAGCTGACTAAAATGAGCAAAAAAAGCATTGTACAAATAAACAACACACATACTGGGTCACGAGATACTCTTGAGAACCAAAGACAGTATTTTAAGGTTTTGTCTGTTAAGAAAAATAAATCTGGTGCAAGGACAAGAAAAGACTATATACTAGGGAAACACATTAATTGGGATATAAATTAGAATTACTACATCTAACAGAGCAAACTGCTCCTCAGAAAAGGGAGATGTGTAATCTGGTTTATAATGAGACACTCATCAAAATGGACCCAACAAATAGAGGCAAACAAACAGTCTGCAGATAGACCTACAAGATCACTCTCTAAATAACTCATCCACACACAAGGCAGCTCATGTGGGGGTTTTTGTAGTATTTTAGCTTGGCTTGGCTCTGGGTTTCTTATTTTCAAAAACAGACTGATGCACTGCAAACAGGCAAGAGTCTGGATAAATGAGATCTGATGTTTATTCATGACAATTTCAAAAAATGTTCAGATAGTAAACAAAACTTAATTACTTTAGAAAGACATAAAATCTGCTGATATAGGATATAATGCTAAATAATAATCACCAGAAAGCCATCTCATTACTATTGGTTTTGTGTTTGATATGGGTTTGGCCCAAGGCAAAGCCCAGGGCTTTATTTATTTAAAAGGTAGGAAAACAAGACAATATGCATGTTTCATATTAAATATTGTGATGGCAATACACTATGTGAAATGCAATGAGAAAGAAACATTGTGAAGCGCTGAGGAGAATTTAAAAATTTATATTTTGTTGTACTTTTTCTCAGACATAAGCAGACTTTCTGAGGGATTATGGGAATACTAATAGCCACAATAGAGTGAGAATTTATTATAATCTAGCAGCAAGAAGGAGCACATCTACACATGTATATACACACACCTTCCACATATATAGCAATGCCTGATTTTCCTATTAAGTTATCTGGGGTTTTTTTTAATTGCAAACTCTGATGAGTTTAAGTCAACATATTTCCTTACTGCTCCTTCTGCTTGTCAGCTGTAGCTGGATTGATAAAATGCAAATGAACAAATCATTAACGAGTACTGGTTATGAATCTCTCAGGCAGTTCAGGACCCTATCAAATCCTGCACCTATTACTTTGTGTGATTGATGTACTATTGTAAGTGATTGTTCCTGATCTTATTAAATCTTATTGATTTTTTCCCAGTTTCTATTTTATGCAGGACCAGGCTTGGACTATTATGAATGTTGCTGAACACTGTTAATCAAGCTTACACAGCTATTTTGATGGCAAACAATTAGAACTCTGAAGCAATACCTTGCAATTAGCTTCAGGGATATGGACCTCAGCACCGTAATAATGAAAGAGACCTTCTCCTTCAAGCAAGGTAATGAGATTTACAATTATGACCCCAAATAACCTCTGAGAAATAACCAATCTGCAAACATAGATGTGTTTATCAATAATTTGTGCCCTTTTTATGAAAATGTATTTTAATTTTTTTTTCACCTATGAGTCATTGTTTCTACTGAAGCACAGTGTATAAAGCCTTATAAAATGACAAAAATATAAATTGAAAGTCTGTATATATAATTTGAATCCACCGGAGGGGTCTACAGAATGATATGCATCAAAAAATTTCAAATGTTGTGAGGAAAATAACACTGAAAACTTGTGAGAATATACTGACATTATGAAAAAACTTGGGTGGTTATAGTAACTTGAAAATACTTATTTACATGTTTAGTAAACATACACAAACATATACATATAAGTATTAAAATGTATAAATTCAGGTACATTATTCAGTAGGTCAGTAGACACAGGCATCCATAAACATGCATCTTTATAAATCCACTGTATGTAGTTTTTGAGTGACACAGGCAATAAAAATAACCCAAATTTGCTCCTTTAAAAATTAAAGCGATTAACATGATTTTTGGAACTGTAATAGTCTATTGAACATCACAGGTCAATTTTTTTTATATCCAAAGGCATTAAATGTAAAATTAATACATAGATAAAATGCAATGAAAAAAAATACCTTGTGAGTGAAATAGTGTATTTCCAAAATTCTTAACTTCCAGTATGTATATTTTACACTTGCAGCCTGAGCACATTTTTTGCTGATTATTTAGTAATGCTGAAAATTCTTCCTATCACACTGCACTTGAAGATTAACTCAACATATATTTGGTGGTTAGCATGTTTGTTAATTTCTCCAGCATCTTTTTTGCTAAAAAGATGTTATCCAACATTTGTAAAATACATTTCTGTATAAAAAGGGAATACCTTAAAAATATTGAAAATTTTACAGTGTTCCTTCCTTTGTTTCTATGAATTTATTACATTGAAAGCAAGGCATTTATACTTTGGTTTAACTGAGGAGATGAAGAAGTGTACAAGGCCCAAATGCAAGAAAGAGCAATTTTCAAATACAAAAAGTTTGCCATTCTTACTGTTCCTTGACAATGATTACTTGCATATTTCACTCCTGTATTTGGCACTTTTATCAGCATGGAAGTAATGTGCTAAACACACCTCTAATTCTGCTGTGCTCCCTTTCATTTCTCATTTTATCCAAATTCTGAAAGCCCTCTTAAGCTCATTTCTGAAACAGCCTCTGAAACAGTATGGGTTCTACAAGCAGAGACTAAAACTGTGTCTGGCTGATCTTACAGAAAATGTAATTATAAAAATGATAATTTTTTTTTATTCAATGTGTTAATACAGATTCTGGGTAGTATTCTGAGTGAAGAAGGGGAGGATGAAGAAAAACCAGGATTTCTTAGAACTTTAATTTAAGAATATGTCATCTTCAAGGTATTGTCAAATTAGACACAGAGTTATATTTTTAAGCACAAAATTAACAAGATAAACTCTTCTTAACCCATGGAATACATGTGAGAAGTTCATACAGAAAGGCAAAATTGGGATGTGTCTATGGATGTATGCAATATACACTACACTCACAAGTTTAGAAAGGGGGAGGAAATTTCTGTGCATTCCCAAAGCAGTGTTTAAAGGGTTAAATGGGAAAGCTTAGCAAACATGAAAAAATTATTAAAAGGTTCATAAGCTAATTCACCATGCAAATTTTTCCTGATTTTCTTTACTTTGAACCCAACCAATAACTGTGAGTTATTTTAGTGCCAGTTTCAATTTTTATCATGTAAATATATTTATTGTTGGATGTAACTGTTAGTGAAATGTACATAATATGTAAAATCTATAAAAATGTTGTAGTTATACATTACTTTCTGACTGTTGTACAACCTTTGTAAACAAAGTATAGTATATCAACTTTCTCATGACAATAAGCTGATTTGTCATCTTGGGGACAGCTAAATGAATTATTTAATCAATAACAGACTACATCACTGGTGATAAGACAAGCTTAGACAAATTAAAAAGTGAATCAGGTAAAGTATGTCACAAGCAAGATATGCAGGTAGTGTAACATACCTTTAATATTAAGCAGAATAACTTAAAATAAATAAACCCCAACCAACCAATCAACCAACTAACCAACTAAAAACTCACAAACAAACCACCAGAAATCCCCCCTACCACTTCTGGAGAACTTAAACTCCCCCCAAAACCAAAACATAAAGCCACAGTTTGTTTCAGGAGGGTGAGGGCGGGGGGGAAGTGGAGGGAATGTGTTCCTGTTTTACATTAAAACAAGAAGATGACTTCTAAAACCCAAACATGTAAAGAAATGAAGCTGCAAGATACTTCATGAATTCATAAATGTAAATATTTTCAGAACAGTTTTGTACAAAATGGATGGTGGTAAGATACCAGAGGTCAGAGGTACTTTTAAGTATAGGTTTGGACACTTTTAAGTATAACACCTCTATTGAATTTAGCTAAAAGGAAGGAAGTGGCGGAAGGAAGTGGCGGAAGGAAGTGGCGGAAGGAAGTGGCGGAAGGAAGTGGCGGAAGTGGCGGAAGTGGCGGAAGTGGCGGAAGTGGCGGAAGGAAGGAAGGAAGGAAGGAAGGAANGGAAGGAAGGAAGGAAGGAAGGAAGGAAGGAAGGAAGGAAGGAAGGAAGGAAGGAAGGAAGGAAGGAAGGATTAGTGAATGTTTCCCTAAGAATGTTTCCCTAACTGTTCATAAAGTTTGGTCTCTACAGCATTTCACAGTGTTCTCACGCCTTTTGTTTTCCTTCTATCCACATGAAAGTCACAATTTGTGTGGTGCTTGTCTGGGCAGCCCAGACATAAACATCTAGATTGAGCTACCAAAGACAGTTCCTGCAGGTTTGCAAGCTATACCACAAGCAAGCCCCCCTGTTGAGGGTCTCCAGGCTGTTCTTAGACTACATCATGTTCCTATATGTTAGACATACCACCTACCCAGGTGTAGATATTATCTGCCTGAATTCCCAAACTGGGTTGCACCATGTCCTGCTTCTGATCTTCACGAAAACCTACCAAAAGGAAGAGTATGGCAATCAATCACACAGTGAAAATTTGCTTGGTAATTTTAACATTGTGCAAAAAGAGAAATTGGTACATTTACTTTCCCGGATCTTCTAGAATTATGGACAAAGAGGGATTTTTTTCTTCTGTAAAATTTTAAACAGGACTTTAAGAACTTTATAAATCCATACAAATCCTTGTGGCTTCCCATATCTGAAGCCATTTCACAAGCTGCATTTATATTATTTCTAAGGGAGAGTCTGACAGTTCTAAAATTGCATAAACAGAGTCAAGCTGTCTGTTTTAAAACTGAATGGCATACAGAATAGTAAGAGCAGCTGGAAATTGTATATGTGCAATTTTAAAGGGTTTCCAGCTTTTTTTTTTTCTCCAATGAATATGCATCTTGTAACAAAGGATGCAGCTCCTAGAGTTTACAGTTTTCCTTTATGTTTCTCTTTCTACTGTTCTCAGATCTTTTGAATAGCTGAAATCCTTTTTAAGCAGGGAATAAATTCTCACTTCTCTCTCTCTTCTTCTGCTTCCTTATACAGTATGCATAAATCTCATGGAAATAAGTCTAGAATAATATACATGTTTAGTGATATGAGCACTTAGTGTAGCTATAAAGGCTAAGTGTTATTTTGATGTGCAGGATTAAGTTTGAAACACATAAGCTGTATAAAACATTGAAGGAAATAAGAATTTTGTGGTGGAGGACACAAATAGAGAGAGATTTGCTTCTGTCCCGTATATGTCCATGTATTAATATAGGGTAATTATAGCTATAAGCCTCTGAATGCCAGTGGTAGTGATGTGTCTCATTGCTGCCATTGGATTCATGACAGCAAATTCCAATTCATCAAAGCAAACGCCTCTGCATTGCACATCAGGCATGATAAGTCTCTAATAACAGTGTATCATATCCAAGTTATATGTATTAAAGACATATGCATCAAAGTGCAATATCACACTTTAAAAGTTGTGAGCATGTGAGAATTCAGTGATTCTAAGGAATTCTTTTTGTCTTCTTGGACTTCTGTACATTTGGTCTTCTATTCTTTTGTAATCTTTTTAGGATATTCATGTCATTCAGGTATTTATTTTTGTGGTGCAGTTTCCCCTTACACAAATACTGATCTCATATCTGATATAACTCCCCCACCATGACACTTATTCATATAACTTATGTCAAAACTGCCTGCACTCACCTCTTAAGCCCTTCTGAAATGAAGTCCATAGTTGGGGCAACTGTAATGAAAAGAAGTGACTTGAAATAAAATCATCCATCCATGAAAGCTCAATTCACAGCTTTAGGATGGTCAGACACAGATCTTCTTCAGCTTAATTTGTAGCAAGTAGCAATTTGAGCTTCATTTTATATGTAGTACGTGACATACAGCAAGCTGTAAGGAGAAAAAAATCTAGGGAGTGAGTATGCTGAAAAAAATCAAACCTTAATCAAACCCCAAGATTCTTTGCTTAAAGCTCATGTACATAAAGAAAGTAGTTTCATGTTATGATGTACATTCCCCATGGTGCACTTTCTCCATTAGCATTTATATCTTCATGCTATTTTATTTTGGACAGTGCTAAACAGATCTGATACACTCAGAAAATTAGAGTCACATGCCATCAGGGAAAGATATTAACAAACAGTATTAACATCTAGCTGGAAGTGGATGCATCATGGACAGGCAAACACCAATAAAATGCCTACTTTTTACTCACTAACCTTGAATATATAAATTTCAACTGGTCAGTTAGTGTGCAGACATAAATTTGCCTCTTTAGTGGGAAAATATCTCTGTTTACTGGTATTCCAAAACAACAAAAAAAAACACCCAAAAAACCACCCCAAAAAACAAAAACAAAACAAAACCAAAAATCCAATTCCTTTTATCTTCAAATTCTAGTGCTTTTTCTATCAGATCACCTTTTCTTCTCCTTCACCACCCCTCCACAGCTTTTCATTCATTTGTATTTATGATCTCCAAGCTATCCTCTCTGGTTGTGATGCTCACAGATTTGTCCTTCCCTCCCTAACCTCTCTCTCCCCTGTTGTCACTATGGTCCCTGATTTCAGCTATATCCTTCACTTCTTTGCCCCTCTTTGATATCATTCTCTCTGCTCCTCTGCACCTTAGATTACTCCAAGCATTCATCATCTGTCTTTCTGTCTCTGTCTACCAAAAGGAACCTAGGGAATGTTCCAGTCTTCCCTCTCTGTCTTTGCACCCTTTTTTGTCCTATATTTCTTAAAAGATAATATCTAGGATAGGACTTTTGCTCCTAATTACTGCATTTTTAACAATCTTTAACTTTCCTTCAAACTTTCTATTGATTTACTATGTTTGATTTTGTAGATTCTCAATTCCTTCAATTCTTGAGATTGTATTTTTGTTCTATCCTCAGCATTTCACATTCTGCAGGTCTTGAATTCCAAATCTCCAAACTCCATTTTTTTTCTATTTCTGATCAGCTTTCAGTTTTCCTCATTGTTAGATTCTCTACCACACATTTTTCTCTTTAGTTTTTTCATAGTCCAAGTTTTAATCGTTTCCTCTGCTACCTGCTATTGACAATCAAAAACTTAGAATACTTCTGAAGAGACTCCTCCTTTTCAGACTTGCTTACCTAACACATTAAATTCTCCCCCTGCCATCCCATTTCTTTTGTTTTCTTTAGCATAGGTCAGATGGCTCAAAAGCATCCTCCTATTTTATCTCACATCATTTGCTCCATTTTTTCCATTAGCTGTCTTTACTTACCTGAAATGCTTGCTATTGAACAGGTATCTCATTCCTCTAAAAATCTTTATACATACCAATGGCTAATATTATTACTGTATGTAAGTACTCATTGTGTCCAGTACTGCTTATGAACACAGGGAGAAGAACACAAATGCAACATCTCTGTATTCTGCAGGTCAGATCAGATCCACCAGATTCCCTTGTAGCCACATTATCGTTCACCCACTGTCTCCTGAAATAAGCTCACAACTGAACAGAGAAATATTTCACTATTTGGTTGTGTTTTCAGTTTTAAAAACAAAAGCTTCAAGTAGCTCTCTCCATCTTTCCTCAAAGTCCTTTCAATGCTTCATCTCTCTTGAAAAGGAACTTAGCACATAATACTTCATTCAGGGCTTCACCACCAAAAGGAAACTTCTTGCACAAAATCTTTACTCTTCCCTGAAAAAACAAACTCCTTCACAATCCAAACAGATTTTTCAAACCTTCTTGCTCACAGTGCCTTTACTGCCCACTGTGATGTTTCACAGCTGGAGTGACTTTTTGTCCTTGATTCACAACTGCCCGTATTTTACCTGCATGAGCATTTTGTTCACTCATTAAATAACTTGTTTTGTTGTTACTGTAAGCTCTAAAGTTATAAAAGAGTTGTGCAATTTTTTCTTAACCCTAGTGGATTCCCATTAACTTCCCCAAAAATGCAATCTATCCAAAGGAACACCATTTCTTCCAGAAGCACTCTCACCAGCAGGAATCCTGCAGGAGTTGTTTTTTTTCCCTCCCTCAACCCCAAAAGAGGTTGTTCATAAGTGTTAGGCACTTCAAAGCCTTCTGTATTCCAGATTGACTTATAAAATAAAAAGTAACTATTATCGACTAAAAAGCAGCAATTGCTGGGTTATGTTACTGGAGAATAAAAATGTTATGACCTGGATTTTCCGGTTTTCCTATTCCTTTTTGAACTTCTGGAAAAAAACTCCAATAATTGGAATAGTTTCCAGTTTAGAGAGCTTGGTTCCTGACAGCTCAGAAGAGGAGAAGCCTGGAATCATATCTGCCCACCAATATTATGTAGAAGTTCCCAAGGGGCAGAGGAACTCTAGAAAGAAAAATGAATATGTACCCTCTATTGGCTGCCTGTCTTCAGTTACTTTGTTTCTAATTGCACTCTCCAGGCTCCTTTCTACATTGCTTAATTGTCTTTCGCAACATCTGCTGTTTATATTACCTTCCTACTTTATATTTCAGCGTTTGTAACTTTTCCCTCTTTGTACCTTCTGCTCAGAGACCAGGAGGTTGATGGCATGCTTTTCCCATTTGCTTGAAGTAGGACATGCCTTGGTGTTCAGGAGCCATTCAATGGCAACTTTTTGTAAATATTAAGAAGCAAAACGTTGCAATTTGAGCCAGCCTTACTGGGATGCTCAGGAGCAATTTCAGTTTGCATGTGTAAAGCCAAGGAGTCACAACATTGATTATGTCATTTTTTTCCAGTTGTACCTGTTGTAAAGTTGGAGTTCGAATTACTGACATTAGAATGTGGGCAATGCAAAGGTTCCTCTGGTGCAGTATAATCTATCAAGGCAAGAGAGCTGCAGATGGGAATACAATGATACTGATGATTTGTTTACTTTGTTTTCCTATAAAAACAGAAAAGTCTTTTCATCAGTACTATAAAGAAAACAGAAAAAAAAACTTCTCAAACTTTCTTTTTTGGGAGGGAATATGTATTTATTTAATAAATATGCTGACTACAGCACAGCATTCAATTCCATGAAATTAAATGATGCAAGAAGCTGGAGGGCTTCTGTCCTGAGATTTTTTAATAAATATCCACAGACTTGAATTTTTTATATTTAATTAAGGGAACATTACCAAAAGTGAAGTAAAAATCAAAAGAAATAAACATATAATTTGACATTATAATATATATACACATTAAGTATAATATATTTACCATTATAAATTAAAAAAAATTAAGGGTGACATTGCTGGACACATTTCTGATCTCTGAAATACATGATTTATCTTTGTATGCAGCCTAACAAGGATATATATATTTCCTTCTAGTGTGTACATTCAATTTGAAGAGGTTGTTCAGTTCAGAAATGAATGAAAGAAATTTTACCTCAAGTATTCACTAGAACTGCATGTATTTCCAGGGAATATACGGTGTGAATTATGACACTTAGACAAGAGAAAGACCTCTTTCTATAATCTTCAGTGTCCATTCACTCATCCTAATACAGAAAATGCTTGTTGCCTGCATATCATTAGCAGTCTTCTACTATAGCTGCAGTATGATGATGGTTGGTGTCACAAGTTCAGGAACTATGCACAGACAAAGACACAAGGCAAGGAAATTGAGCAAGGAAGACAGCTGGCACTGTTAAGAAAAAGAAAGCCATAGCTTTGTGTTACTTTGAGCAACAGGTGATTCAAAAGGACAGAAGTGCTCATAAAATCACACTAAACAAATACAGGGACTTCAATTACTAAAATGGATAACTCAGGCCTTGGAAGGAAATCTACCTAACGCTTAATCTCTAACAGCAATTTTACCTTCAGATCTCTAAAACTAGCCTTTCATTGCATTTTCTGAAGGAACTATCACAGGAGAATTCAGAAAATGGTAAATGTCTTCTATATATTTAATTGATCAATATGGAAACAGAGCTTGATTGAAAAATCCCTTGTGATAGTTCATAAATTTGTAATTATTAATGAAGTCTTCAGTCAAATGTTTTTATTTGGGGGAAATATAAACATGCGATAAAAGAGAAAAACTCCTGCACTTTCTCCATTTTCCTATCTCTTATATAAGAGAAGATAATGAATTTATGTTGTCATCTCATTTTTGAGTGGGTTTTCAAATTTGAGGAGACTTGGAAAGATCTGCAACAGAACTACCATCTTTTGGCAGCAAATTAGAGGGGGTAAGAAGGTAATCAAAGTCCTTTTAAGCCATGAAAAAGATTCCTAAAAGTCTTAACTTTTAGGAATTTATGGAAGATATCTTGTGAAAGATACAGAAAAGTCAGAAAGGATAGTAACAGTATTGTTTCACTGTAATTACACAGTCTATTAGTGCAGAGAACTGTCCACTCCACCTAAAACCTCTCATGCCAAATTCATGGTTTTCCTCTCTCCTGTGTCCTTCCAGAGGAATCTTACTTCCCTGCTGCGATTTGGGCTGCACTGAAAATCATAAAGCACCAGCCAACTCTGAATTCCCTTGAAGACTTGCTGTATTTGCATAAAAAACAAAATCTTTTTGTTTATATTGTACCTCTACATTTTTTTTTGCACAAGAGTTTACTGGAGCCTGATCTCATGTCAAATTTCAAAGCACAATGACTCTGAAGAAGGAAGGGAAGTGCATTTTTCTTCACATTCCTGAAATGTGTAAGTATTGATATCAAGGTCACATCTTCTGTAGGAATGTCTAATACATTATTAGGGTCAGAATAAGTCCAGAAGAGTTTTGTCAAGAATAGAAACACTTGTGAATGGCAAAATCTACACATAAGAGAACAACTATATTTTCTGTGATTCTGGAATGCTCTTTTTACAATAAATGTGGTTCCCTGGACTTCTGCTACTGTGATGAAAATGCATTTCAGAGAAAGCAAACTTCTGGTAATTTTCTAATATCTAGAAATACAAATCCACAGTGCAGAACTCATTGCATTAACATTACCAGTAAATAACAGTATTTTTCTCTGTCACAAACATTTAGCTTGTGTTCCCAAATACCATTTTATTACTTTGAAAATAGTCCTTAAGAATTTTCAGTGGATAATTGAGCCGTGTGTGTATTTTAGGACAAATATTGGGAAAAGTCATGTTCAATACCAATGTCTATACCATTTAAACAATGAAAGCATCAGGTAAGTAACAACATTTGGACAGCAAGTCAATATGACTATGAAAGGTCTCCAATAATGAGCAAACTCAAACCAATACACTGTTTGAGTATTTGGCCTTCCTATTGACAAAGGTTGCTTTCAATCACACTGTATCTATTACCATATCAATCATCACTCTAAATGAATACAACATGAACATTGACGAAGACATCACTTAGGCAAAGAAACTAAAGGTTCTATAAAAACAAATAATGAAAGTTTGGTTGATCACAGCATGAAAATTAGACCTAATCCTTAGTCATTTTTACTTTGTAAAACAAATAAATTTAAACAAAAAATGTTAGCTCTATTTCTTTCTAGGAACTTAAAATATATGGAAATTGATATCACATTCTTAATTATTAAACATAATGCAATCCAATACGTTGTTTGCTACACAAATTAAGATATGGAATTGAACTGATGAAAATGATTTACGTGCAGGATTAAAATATTGGCAGCTTTATAGAGTGAAATGTCACTATACTGCTGTACCTTCAAGTTTTACATTTCCTCCTTTGAATCCCTGTCAGCCTTCATGAACACTGGAGAGTTTAATCAATGCTTGCTGTAGCCATAGCATAACACTGAATATTTTATCTGTGTAATAATCATTGTGCAGTTTAGTACAAGTCAAAAGCAGGAATTATAAACAGATATATTGCAATTGACAAGGTTACATGTTAAATTACAGTAAAACTAATTTTTACACGTTTCTATGGTTCTTTTCTTTTTGTGAAGGCAACCTGTTTTGCAACAGTTCAATGCACCCTAAGGCAATCAAATTGTATTTAGGATGACTCAGAGGTCATAAAATTCAAACACTTATGAGTTCATGTATTTGAATTACTTTAATTTATATGATACAAAACTCTTGTGAAACAAGCATTTTATTTGCTTTATGCACTCCAAAGGGTGGAATTCAGATTGTAATTTGTGCTGCATTTTTCAAGATAGTCAATATCGACAATATCAGCTCTGGAGAGGGAGAAAGAGATTACCATCTTGGTGTTGTGGCAGTCTGTTTTCCTTATAAAAAAACCTTGTGTGAAGCTAAAATATAGGCATGAATGAGGGAATAAGGACAGAGACATAGCATGAAATTTAGGAAACTAAATAGAAAACTGAGTAGATAAAAAGGTTGTCAAATACATTATTTCCAAATTTTCAAATCAAAGCCACTAGTACAGCTAATTTAAAAGATAGCTTAAATTTTTGATTTGAAAAAAATTGAAAAAAATAGGATATTTAATATAATAACACCAAGCAAAGAAGAAAGATTAAGATATGTTTGAAATACATTAGAAATAATTTGCCTTTAAGTAAGTTTAATTGCTATATATTAACTTTATTTAAATAAATAAAGTTAGTTTTCCAGCCAATTTTCCCAAAGACATTAATCTATAGAATAGTCCCAATACCCGTAAACTACAAACAACTTTAATAACATTGCGAGGAAGGAATAGAAATAATAATTTTGATTAAAGAGTTCTTAATTTCTATTTAAAGAGTATCCTCTTATGGGTATTTTGATAAACAGGTGCAGTGCAAGGAATGCATTATGTCATAGATATTTATTCAAAAATATGTAGAAAAAACCTACTTCTACTGTCAATAATGTTATTTGTTGCATTATTCCTTCAGCACTGAAATCGATCTAGTAAGTATCTATTGAATAAATATTTTGCCTAGAAATTTGTTTTGCCTTGATGTATGTTACAAGCATATAGATATTTAAGAACATAGAAAGTGCTCTGGTCTACCTAGTCAATCCTCTTGCTATACCACTCAGCAAGAAGGCTTTATTTTTCCAGCAGGTGTATCAGGCTATATCAAATATTTAATCCATCTATGCAAGGTTGTCAATTTTAGAATATACATTAATGGAAGAATTTTTTTTCTCTGTCTGATGACACACAGAGTGTCAGTTTTATAAGAAAAAAATATGCAATATTTCAGAAAGGTTCATTAAGCTAAACCCTGTTATGAAGATAATTTACATTTATTCTACTTCAGGCCATTAAGGGTGTAATCACTTTAGGCAAACATGAATAGAAAGCTGTAATTTTTATCCCAACTTGATCTTCATTTTCCTCACAGCCAGCATTCAGCAGGGCTGAAAGGGCAGTAGGAATGATTCTACCACATGCCATTCCTTGTCTCAGGTCACAACAGGCACACTGACATTGAGCGTTTTGCCTTCAGCCCCCTCAACCACATGTTGAAAAAAGATAGTTTTAAGACTCTAGCATTTTGTTTCAGTTTCTTTCATCCTTTAAGTCAAATAAGGCCGAATCTTGTTCAGAATCTTTAACCTGAAATTTTCCTGTCATTTATATGATGACTGCCCTCCCACTGTAGTTCCCATACATTGATCTGCCTGGGCACATGGGATATATCTCAAATGGAACCATATTGCCAATACATTCAAATCAGAGGGCTGGGTCATCACCAATATGATGTCCTAGATTTTGCCCTTGAGATGGTGCAACCCTGGATATATGGACAGGCTGGGGAATGAGATGCTGGAAAGCAGTGACATGAAAAGGGACCTGGAGGTACTGTTCAATGGCAAGTTGAATGTGAGCCAGCAGTGCCCTGGCAGCCAGGAGGGCCAACCCTGTCCTGGGGGTCATCAGGGACAGCATGGCCAGCTGGGCAAGGGAGGGGATTGTCCTGCTCTGCTCTGCTCTGCACTGGGGCGGCCTCATCTCGAGTGCTGGGGGCAGTTTTGAGTGCCACAATGTAGTGATATTAAACTACTAAACAGTGCCCAAAGGAGGGCTAGGAAGACAGTGAAGTGCCTTGATGGGAAGCTGTACAAGAAGAGGGTTAGGTATTTCAGTCTTTGCAGCATAGAGAAGAGAAGACTGAGGAAACAAGACCTCTTATCTATTTACAACTTCTTTTTGAGAGGAAGCAGAGGGGCAGGCACTGATGTCTTCTCTCTGATGACCAGTGATAAAACTTAAGGGAATGGCCTGAAGATGTATCAAGAGAGGTTTAGGTTGGATATTAGACAAAGGTTTTTCTCCCAAAGCATGGCTAGGAACTGGAACAGGCACCCCAAGGAACCGCAAGCTGGCTGGAGTTCAAGAAGCATTTGGACACCACTTACAGACACATTGGGTGATTTTTTCAGTTTTTCTCTGGGCCAGGAGTTAGACTTGATCACTGTAGATCCCTTTAAACTCAGGATATTCTATGAACCTATGATTCTATATTCCAGTTTGTAATTCTGGCCCTATCCAGCTCTGAGAAGACAAAACCCCAGAACAACAGAGAGGGCAAAAGAAATGTCTTACTTCCATTTTGAAGATGCAGAAAAGCTGGGCATGATGAATACTTCTTCGTTTTTTGATCCCAACACTCTACATGATGCACCTGAAATAATAATATGTTTTTATTCGGTAATATGTCAGGAATGGAGCCTGACATTTTAGCCTAGGTTTTCAGAACCTAGGACAATAGTGCAAAGAATTGCCTGTTACCAACCAAGCTGAAACAGTTTAAAGCAGCATTGCATCTACAGTTCTGTCTGTGTTCTTTGAAAGGAAGATTTTTAATGCAGGAGAGGTTTATTTGTACATTTCCATAACATTGGCATATTAATCTAAAGGAAAATTAAGGGTCATTTATGAAGAGAAGGCTATAGAAGAAGGACTCGTAGAATTAATCACTGATACAAAAAGCCATTGATGAAGGCTGAGCAGCTTGAGAACGCTATGGCAATATTTTTGGGTTTTGGAATTCATGTATTAGTGTAAGATGAGTTCTGAGGAAGTCAGGGTTAGCAGAAGATGGTTTTTGCTGAGTATAAAGTACCACATTGCACTGGCCGAAACAAAGTGCTGAATAGGTGATTGGGATATGGATAAGGAGGGTGACAGGCATTCTGAAATGCTGTTTCCAGCTCTCAGCACACACTGTAGCATGTCCTGTGTCCTGTTCTACTTCTGCCCATTCAGAACTCACCTCTGCTTGGGAGCAGGTTGGTAGCTCCTCAAGACTTCATTCACACCAGTGACAATGTTTTGAGTTGCATCAAAACTTCTGAATAATATTCCCTACCCAGTTGAGTTCATCATATTTTCCGCTCCCCTCTTGAATGAGAGGCAATCTCTCCCTTATCAGCCTTCTCCAAAATAAAGAGCCATTTAAAAAATATATGGCCATGGTACTTCAGAATCTGTCCAGACTTCAATATGCAATTGACATTACAAACCAATCCAATTTCAGGTATTTCTTTACTACAACTTGCCAGAAAGTAATTTTGTTAGTATGTCTATTAAAATAGCCCCTTCCATCAAATTTTTATTGTAATCCTCTGATTGGTCCCGCTTTTTACTAAAGTAATGCAGATTATATCAACATCTTGCCAGACAAATATGACCTGGTTGTTTTAAATGGGCATTTCACTTTTGCCTTCACTTATACAGAATGGGGCATGTAATTTACTGTGGGAGACATGGAGATTCTTTTATCTCTTTTTATAATCCCAAAATCCTGCCGACTTACAGGAGTGAGTGCAGTTGGCCATGTGAATTCCATTAAACTCAATGAAACGCTCATGCCAATAATTCCACACCACCACTGAAAATTAATTATTCATAATAATAACACATTTCTCTTTCCATCTGAGCATTGCAAACATCCTTTCCAAGATAAATAATTATGGTTCAAAAGATGTCCTGTACTAATAAGGCAGGCAGTTTATACCTATTTTCGTATTTGTGTACATAGACACAAAGTGAGACAATTCTAGGTCTGTTTAAGGAAATTTCAGACAAGCTCCCTGTGCTGAGAATTTCACTGGTTTTGATGAACTCCTCCTAGAATCAGTGGGAACTAACTACAGTATAAAATTACACCGGAGTCTTACAGACATTTTTCTCCGCAGGAGTTAAGGGATAAAAAGCAGATCTCAGTATAAAATTTATTTAGGGCTAGGGCTCTTTTAAGATTTTCTTTTACACAGCACACAAACTCAAAGACACCTGAGGAGAATCAAAGTGTTTGTGGTGAAGTCTGAAACAGAATCCACTAATCTACTCAAATCCATACTCTTCATATTAAAAGGTAGTCCTTCCCATTGTAAATACCATTATCAATTGAGACTGGTCAGTTCAGCTGCAAACTTCACATCTGCCTTTTGTTATTCTCCATCTTTGACTGTCATCTAAAATACAGACCTGTCTTTGGGTAGATTTTATGGAACTCCAATAATTTTGTATCAAATATTGCCTGACTGAAGCACTAAGCTATAAGCTGTATACTCACAGAAACAATACTGGTTTAATCCTTTTATTTGTGCAGATACCCTCTATGTAAATACTGCTCGCTTTATAAAAGTGTAAATTTCTACATATCTGGTCCCTCAGTTCTACTCATCTCAAAATCACTCTACAGCCTCCAGAGAGAATTATGCATTGATTTAAGATTGGGATTTGAAACAACCAAAGCAGGGCCATGATAAATATTCGTAAACAATAGAGAGAGCTGAATCTTAAACCCCAACTCACCCATCGTTTTAGCCCTTCTGACTAGATGCCTGATTTGGGTGTCCATGGCAAAGTTTTAGTAGCCAGGGGAGATAAAGGGGTGGCTCCTGTGTGAAGCTACTGGAAGATTTCTCTGATGCCTGCCATATTCAAGATGGACCTGCTACTGCTCAAGACTGACCCCATCAACCATGAGCACCAGTGGTAGCACTCCTGGGATGGCATATTCAAGAAGGGAAGTAAAAACTTGTACAACAGCAGCTGCAGCTGCAGAAAGGAGTTTGAGAAAAACATCCCTGCAGACCCCTGGGTCAGTGAAGAAGAAGGAGGTGCTCCAGGTGCCAGAGCAGAGATCCCCCATGCTGAAGACCTCAATGAAGCAGGAGTGGAGACACACAGTGAAGCAGAGATCCACCTTCAGCCCCTGGAGGACCCAGCACTGGATCAGGTGAATGCCCAAAGGAGGCAGTGAAGCTATGGGAAGCCCACACTCTGCCCCCATGGAAAGAGGAGCCCATATTTATGCAGGTTTGCTGGCAGAAATGGTGACCCTATTGGAGACCCATGCTGGTACAATCTACTCCTGAAGGACTGTACTCCATGGAAAAAAAAGAACCCATGCTGGAGCAGGGGAAGAGTGTGAGGAGTCCTCTTTTGAGAAGGAAGGAGTGGCAGAGACAACATGCAATGACTAAGCACAGCCTGCTTTCACCATCCCCATTGGTCACTGAGGGGAAGTGGCACAGAATCAGCCCTAAATTTGAGCCTGTGAGGAAGTAGTGGGAAGGGTTTTGTTGGATTTGGCTTTATTCCTCATTTCCCTACTCTGATTTGATTTGCAATAAATAAATTAATGTCCCCAAATTGGATGTGCTTTCCCCATGATGTTAAACCAGTGAGTTTTCTCTCCCTATCCTTGTCTTGACCCATGGGCCTTTCTTTATACTTTCTTTCCTCTGATCCGTTGGGAATGGGAATGATACAGTGGTGTTGGTGGGCACCTGGTGTCCAGCCAGAGTCAACTCACAGCAATGCCTGACATAAAGCCTTGTATTAGGCATCAGTGACCACATTTTCCCTTCAAGAATGGATGATTGGCTATTTTCTTTTTAAAGCACAGGTGGAGGGAAATGTGAAGGTGACAATAATATATTGTTTCTGACAGCTGTTTAATGGAAAACACATAAAAACTCCTAGGAAGTATTAGGTCTCCCAAAGAACAGTGTCCTATTAGCCACTGGAGCAACAGCACTTTCCCTGGAGCTTGCCCTTCCAGGCCCAGGAGTCCCACATTCATTTTCTTCTTTTATTCACAAGTGACTTCTCTTCAAATGAATGACAGAAAACCATTCCTGTTCAAGGTTGTTTTGTTATTATGATGTCACTTTTAGAAGGTAAGAAATTATGGTTTATGTCTTGTCAAGCTGAAGAGGACCTAGAACCTGTTACCCACTTCCCATAAATGAAACCTGATTATTGGTTACTTTAAAGTGCAGTCTTGCACTCCATCAAATGGTTTTGAATGACAACAGCTGTGATTCTTCTGTTTCATGTTGAAGTCTGGGTAAAACATTAGACCATATTAGACCATTAGACTAATAAACCAGAATCATAAAGGGACATAGCCCCTCAGACACCTCATCTATAATTTCCAAACAGACTTAGATATTTAGAAGGTTGCAGTTTTATAAAGGTTTGCAATAATCATTTTCTGCATGACCAGAATAATTTTATTAGTTAAAAATTAGTGGAAAAAAAAATTTATAGCTAAAAAAAAAAAAAGTCTCCACGTGGTTTATGACACTTTCTGAAACTTATCTCTCACATGTTTGTGTCTTATATTCCTTCTGCCTTTTAGAGAAACAAGATAGCATTCAGGAAATCAGGTTTCCCTTATGAAAGACAACCCGTCCTTTAGTGCCTACACAAGCTGATCACTGTGGATTTATCAGAAACATAAATAATACCTTGACTCTCTGGAGACTACACTTCCTAGTTTCTACAAAAGTCAGACGTATTTCCTTGCTGATGGAGTATAATCACATACATTTCCTTGCTTTCATTGTATAAACACCTATATTTCACTTTAACACTAATCTATGTTCCTAAGACCTGTAGTGAAAACTCTCAGGCAGTAAATTTACAGAAGAGTAAAACTTAGAACTCGAGTAACCCCAGGTTAAAAGTAACCCAACCTTTTTGCCATCTGGAGCTTGAGCCCTCTTCAGCCACCAACACAAGAAAATGGACTATTCTCTTGAAATATTTTTTTTTTTCTCTTTCTGCTCTCCATATGATCACTTGAAAATGTCTACTCTCCATTCCAGATCAGCTTCCTCAGATGGTTAGGGAATACTTTCATGCTATTTCTTCACTTTCAAAAGACCTTACACTAGGAGTAGTCTTCATTCCAAATACTTTCTGATGAAAACAGAGTTAGATTCACAGTATGGACTGTGCTTTAGTTTGGATGTAATGAAGGAACAACTGTTGAAGAAAGACATAATTTCTTTTTAAAAACATTAAAATAACTTTGCCCATCCTTTAGAAATAAGGTAAATAATTCAAAATGTATGCACTGTTACAATAACGAAGGTTATTATGTTAATCAAATCAACAACCTGCATAATTTTTACTACATATCCTTTCCTAGAGTAATAAGCAATTCTGCCTAGCACTTTGGAATGACAATAAGTTTGTGACAAATAAGGCATATTTTAAAAAGTTAATCCTTTTCTTTTTTGGTGAATAAACAGCAGTGTCACTGGGGGTTGGCAAAACTTCAGCTTGTCTTAAACACTACACTATTTACTTCTTCAGCTACCTAATCAAACTTGCAGTTCAGGGAGTTTTTTGGTGCAAGGCCTGGGATTATCTTTCACATGCAGTTGCAAAGCCTGAAACACAAATTACGCCAGCATAAACAAAGGCTAGGCTTCAGAAGGCTGTGGGAAGAACTTGCCAGCAATATATAGTTTTGTTTCTACTCATGCTTCTGTGCCTCACAACATACCATGCATTCACAACAGACTAACTTCAAGGCAGTACATCACTCTAAATAACAATTCTCTTTTTTATTATCAGTTTAAGTCACAAACATAACATTAAATTTTTTTGTCTCTGCATTATTAGATTTAGAGTGTTGGTGCACCAGTTCAAGGTAACTAAACAGCTTTATTATATCATCAACAGCCTTGCAAGATATCCTCATTGTATTCTGCAGGACTTAATTTAAGGAGAAGATACTATGAAACATTCTATTTTTCTCTATTTTAGAGAGCCATAATCAGATAAATAGTGAGAAGACACAAAAGGAGAACTCTGAGATCCTGTGGGAGCAAGAGCAGGAGCCATACTCTTAATCTAATGGGATGTATTTCAGTATAGCGCACAAAAAAATAGGTATCTCTTTGTACTAACAATACAGCAATCTCAGGAGCACTTGTCCATGTAGCATGCTGAATATTTATCCTTATTTGTCAAGAGTTTTTAAACAGTATATTGTTATTGCACATGTGCATAACAGTTTATCAAACAAAAGAAGAATGATCCTCTAAATGAACCCTCTTTGAATTGAACTTTTAAAACACCTTATCCTGTCTTCAAAGGAAGCACAAGATCCACTTTAATAGCTAATATTAAGTTATAGCATGTAGAACACAGCAAAAACAAAGGAAGTAAATCTACTCTTTCCATTTTATGTCTTTTTAAAATAGAGACTAAACTCATAATTTGGTTGTTGGTGGAGTCAGAAAACTCACCGCTCTAGGTGCAAAATGAGAGGAAGCTGTACTGCAATCAAAAATGAACAATAGACTTAAATAGTACTGAAGGCATGAAAATAGCTGGCTACAAGCCCAGAATCTATAAATAGTACCAAACTTGTTCATCATAACTCCACTGATGATGACAACATCATCAGGAAATGAAAACAGAAAAAGCAGGAAAAGAATAAAAGCAATGGACCTCAGGAATGAAAGGCCAAGCTATTTACAGAGCAAGCCGCTCAAGTTTGACAGTAATCCTAGGGTGGGAAAGTAACAATGGTAACTAATAATGCCATGAGTCCTACCACATAACTGTGCTAGGGAAGGAGGACAGTAAAAGAAAAGCAACCAGTCCACTGAGGAATAAGTGCTATTGGTGCAGATTCCTAATTTTTATGAGAATGCTGAAATGAAATGTTTATCATTTGTCTTGAGCATGATGAATGCAGT